GCTACCGACTGAGCCAACCAGGCGTCCCTGCTGTACGCTTTTTTAAGGAAACATTTTATTGGAAGAACATTTTCAGAACCAAATGGGAAACACACACGTTTCCAGTTTGTCGTCTGGATGTTAACAATAAAGTTTTTATCATTTTAAATTTCATATTTTAGGAACTTTTGTAAACATGAAACTCAAAAAGTGCTTCTGGGAAGAAATGAAACAGAAAGTCAAACAAAGAAATGAGCTGTTTGCACCTTTATTGGATTTTATAATGCGTTAGAAAACATTTGTCAAAGAGAGGAAAGTAAACAAAAACTTATTGGTAATCAATATCGGTAATCAATAGACAGTAAACACGTTTATTTCAAATGACTTTCTGAGGCTGAATTTAAAGGTTTGATTAAAGTCAGGTCACATGTTCATGGTCCAGGAGTCCAAGTGTCTGATAGCTGCGTCAGTTAATGGGTGTATTAAATCTACGACCTACAGGCGCCGCCGCTGTTCACTGGCTGCAAGACGGGAAAAAAAAAGTAATTTCTCTTTTGAAGCAGTCGGGGAAAGTCTTCTAGATTTTAAATAAAGTTTTCTTGTTTTTTGAATCCAAACCACAGAAGAGGAAGTTCTGATTGGAGGACGACACCTGGCCTCCTCCTACGACGCCTCCACCAGGTGGAACCCTCCGTTCTCCTCCATCCGTTTCTCCCTCTTCCGGGCCTGAACCAGACTGTAGACCACAGCTCCCAGCGTGTTCCTGTTCAGACTGAAGCCCCGCCCACCGCCGCGCTCCGTGAAACTGGAGCGCTCCTCGCGACTGCTCACGAAAAACGTACGAACCTGAACCGAACAAACAAACATGATACCGACTGTTTGTTTGTTCTCGAATGCTACGAATAAAACTTTAAAAATACTGATTAAAACTAAAATTACACTATAAAATACTTTAATATATTTTTCATAATTATATTGATTCATCTTAATATTTAAATTAACTTAAAATACTAAAAATTGTTCAAATGACTTGAATACGACAAAAACACTTTAAAATACTTGAACATTAATAAAAACTTTAAAAATACAACATAAAACACTTGAATACTATTTCAAATATTTTAAAATACTTTATATTTGTGTCTTTGCAGAGGTTTTTATTTCCTGTTAATCTCATTATTTTGTCACTAACACCTGATGATCTCACCTTTCCGTGGCGTTCACTGATGCCTTTGACGTAAATGTTCCCTCTGAGCTGCCGTAGGAAGCCTCGCTCCACCAGGATGCAGCTGGTGGACTCTGGGACCTGATGGGGGGGCGGAGTTACATCACTAACATACAGACATACAGACTCACCTGCAGTCAGGTGTCCTCACCTGGATCCTCCCGCTGACGCCGGTGCTCTCCATCCGGCTCGCCATGTTCACTGTCGTCCCCCAGATGTCGTACTGAGGTTTGGTGGCGCCGATCACGCCAGCAATCACCGGCCCATGAGCGATACCTGCAGAGGAGGTCAGAGGTCACGATGACAAACATTTAGGAAGAAGAAACAATACTTTGAATATACGGCGTACGCACCAACTCGCAGCTGGAAGCTGTTTCCTGTGTGCGTGTTGATGTGTTTGAGCGTTTCCTGCATGGCGAGAGCAAACAGAACCAACTCGCTGAGGTGATGCCAGCCGTCCTCGCACTCCTGGACACCAGGAAGGTAGAGAGGAAGGAGCAGAGGATCATGGGAAGAGGAAAATTATTTGGCGGCATTATACGTCATCCTGCTGTTCTACGGAAGGTCGAAAGTGTCCAGTAGGTGGAGCCGTTTCTAAAAACTGCACCTGTCCAGGTACAAAGAAGCTCTTTGATGGCGAGAGACTGACTCCAGTTTTATGCTTTTATATTTTTATTGTGAAAAAAACCTAAACAAAAAGTGCAGAACTGGGAAATATTGTGTGAAAAATGGTTAAAATAAAATAAAAATACTTGAATATAAATACAAAACATAAAAAAAAAACAATTTTATTCAAATATTTACAACTATGAAAAATAAAATGAACTAATAAGACTTTTAATAACTAATACATCATTTCATTGTTGTAATGTGGAAAATGATTAAAATATGTTAAGAAAAAACTAAAACAATTAAAATAAAAACTTTAAAAACACTTTGGTTTGATTTGAATGTAGTCTTTTATTCTGACCTGTCTGTCAGGAGAGAGACCAGAAGCTGCCATATACGAACTGCCGATGGTTTTAATCTTCTCCACTTCCTGAAAGTAACATTCATCCAGCAGCTGCAAAGAGAGAGAAATTATTATATTATTACAAACATTTCATTTATTAGTCCAGAAATGAGTCCAAATCTGTCCTCTGCTGTACTTACATATGCCAAGTGCTGAGCTAATCTTTGTTGAAAAGACATTTTGAAGATAAAAGAGACACATCTTAAGTTAGCTAATGTTAGCAAAGTGCTAGCTAATTGAAACCAATCATTAGTTAGTGTTCTGCTAACATTAGCTAACTTACGATGTGACTCTATATATTAATAATTGATAAGTTGATTGACAGATCATTTGTGTGTGTGTGACCTCATCGAAGTCGGTGATGATGTGGTTGAGGAGGCGGAGACACTCGACGGGCTGATGAACGACCTCCTTCTGCTCGTAGAAGTCGGAGAAACCCGGCAGGGAGGCGAAGAGGACGCCGACTCGCTCGTACGACTGCGAGTACAACTCCTGCAGACACACACTGTTAACACCTGCACACACGCACTGACACACACCTGGCGGCAGGTTGGCGGCAGGTGGGCGGTACCTCGTCGTGGCGGTCTCTCTCCAAGAAGTGCTGGGCGACGTGTGCCGGCAGGATGTTGAGCAGCAGACACTCGTTGTGCTCCCTCAGCTCCCTCATGTCCTCTACCTCCTTCCTCGCCTGGAGGCGCCACAAGAAGTCCAGCCGCGCCGTCGCCTCCAGCTACCGACGAAGGAGAACGCAGACGATGACATTTATGTATTATTTTTCATAGTTTTACTCAACGGGAATCAGTAGAACTCACGTGTCTGCTGTTGTAGAGGACGGCTACCACAAACATCACCATGAGAACGACACAAACGCCCTTCTTACACAAGTGATGAGACCTGAAAGACACAATTTTTATGGTGTATTTATACAAGTAAATAATAATAATAATAATAATAATAATAATAATGCTGGATGCAGCATTGTGTCTCTATGAGGCAGGTGTGTACCAATGAGGTCACCTGTGCGTCTCTATGAGGTAGGTGTAGAGGGCCGCGGCAAGCAGGAGGATGACCAGCTTCAACACGCAACTCAACCTGAGGAACACCGCGCAGGTAACCATGGCAACCACACCACTCAGCACCATGTACTGTAATACAGTTAAATGGTTATCATATGGTTAAATTAATGTATCATCTGCATAGAAAAGACACACGACAGCGTTGACGTGTGTTTGTTTGTTAGCGCTCACCTCTGGATGTGTGCAGATGTTAATGTCTGACCAGGTGGAGGTGGGCGGAGCCAGCTGGGAGTCGCTGCTGTTGTGAGTGTCTGACGAATCGCACCACAGCTGGAGGGACGGAGGGAAACAGCAACAACATAACTCAAAATGTTTAAAGCAGCAACAGAAACTTCTGAAAGCGTTACGCTCAGTGTAACCAATGTCTCTGTTCCTTCAGGTCAACATGTTTTTAACAACTTACAATGTCTGAGGAGGCGACTCCGAAGTTGACGGCGATGGCTGTGACCGTGAGCATCGTCCGGGCGGGCTTGGTTTCGTGAACCCAGCAGCAGAGAGACTGTAGGGGGGCGGGGCAATGCTTAAGCTCCTCCCCCAGAGTAAGCAGCAGGAGCAGGAAGTAAACGCTGCCGCCGACCACGAACTGAGCAACCATCGGACAAAACCTGAGCAACATATTGGACAGCTACTGAATACATATAACACAGAGGGACAGGTAGAGAGACAGGTAGAAGGACAGGTAGAGGGACAGGTAGAGGGACAGGTAGAGAGACAGGTAGAGGGACAGATAGAGGGACAGGTAGAGGGACAGG